CTTGAAATACATAATATGTAAAACACAAAATTGTAAAACTATCAACACTACCCGGGGAGGTCAGCCACCCCATCCAAGATTTTCATTGGATTTTTATCTCTTCAGAGACGAGCATTTGTTTACTTGCCTTGGTTGAAGTACTTTTTGTGATGAGTTGAAAGAAGTTATGAACTTTAAAGTTTTTTGTGGCAGAGCTGTTGGGGTGGCCTGAATAGGGTTAATATAATATTTTGATTGACATTTTCTATTTTCGTAAGCTCTTACCACGCTAAGTAAACGAGAATTATAAAAATGATAGGCTTCTTCTATAGCCTGACAATACTGGTGAAGATTTCGATGCGAAAAGATGACCACGAACGGACGGACAGACATTTGCCGTCAATCGATTTTTCGGTATCAAATATATACAAAACATAGATTTGAACTACACGACATGTTTCCGGTAATTTACTATAAACAGGAACAAGATTGATCTACATTTTAGTTTCCATTGTCCGACTGGGATTCTCGGATCCGGTTCCGGTTTATTCACACAGTATCACGAAACTTTCTCTTCTCAAGAAGAATCTTCTTAAGGACGAGTAAGTAAACATGTACATTAACCGTATAACTTCTTCAATTGCTTAAAACAACCTACTTTGTCCGCGAAAGTGTTTCCATAAGAGCAAGTACTAATCTCAACTTCTTGTAAGGCTCCCACACGCGGCAAATTTGCAAGCGGGTGCGGCGCGAAATATTCCCCGCTAGAGGCGGCCCTGGTTTCGAAAAGAGGATAAAACCAGGCGTTACATATAAAAAAAATCCTCTAACACGTGTTGTAGCCACGCATGTTTTGTGCGTTCTTAATACAGAACAATCGTATAATGGCAAATCTACACTGTCCGTTCGTCTTCCCACTTTCTGAAAATGCTAGCGCATAAACCGTTCACCCGATTTTCTCCAAAATTGATATTCCTCAATGGTTCTGGCCGATTTCGTGGTCACTGGAATTAATCGTTGTAGCTGATGTTTTAATTCCTGGGGATACTTTACATGAAATGATACTTTACCCCTTGAATACATTCCAAATTTTAAAAAAATGCTTTTAATACATGCAAAATTTTGTATTAAATTTTGTTATTGGATAGTGCGACGGACGTTTAAGAGAATGATGCAGGTCTCATTTTCGTTAAAAACCCTGGTTTATCGAAAATAGAAAAGGTTCAAATATTTTTCGGTGTCTTCCTACAACTATAATATTCAAGATATAGATTTTCCTAAATGAAATCTGTTCCTTGAAGACAAATCTGGAAAAAGATCACGTTCAACTTTTGGAAAATATGAGTCGTTTTCGGGTAATTTGCGCCAAATAGAGGCAATTTTAATAACTTTTTTTCTGAAAAACCGCTCTAAATTTTTTCTTTAAATTTTCTCCGCATATGTATAAAATATGTCCCATTTTTGAGTATTGCCAGATTTTTGAAAATTGCAAAACAATTCAAAACTACAAATTGAAGATTGAGACTTTTGCCTCAGACAAACCCTGTTGTACAAAATTAGCTCTTTAAAAACGTCGTGCACAATTTTTGTAGACGTCAGTGGTTTTCGCCTAATTTCTGTTTGAAATTAATGAAAAATATATGGGCGCCCCCCCCCCCCAACTGTGGGCCACAAGAAAAAATATTCGGAGAACAGTAATGGATCAAAAGGATATGCAAAATAATTAATGTTATTTTAATTATAATTTTTTAGTGAAAATTTCGCTATTCATTCGATTTTACTTTATTCTGCAATTTGTATCCCCGCTCCTTATTCCCTTCTCTTCATGAACGTACTAATTTGAGAGATGTTCCTGATAAACGCAGGTATGCGAAATAGGCGCGTCGTTAGAATTGGGTGGATGTGGATTTATTACCATTATTTCTAATACTTAACAAAAAAATTGAGTACCATAAATTTGTACGAACATTATAACTTACCACCGTATGCTGTCATGGGAAACAATTGAACAATGGATATTTGAGAACAACTTTGTTGATGGCGACAAGATAAAAATGAAATGTGAAACTATTTTGAATTCTTCTTTTTGTTGAACATTAACATGGAACCATTATAGCTTTCATTCCATTTATTTATGTTTTTATTTAACGTCAAAAGATGGAAATAAAACGTTTGTTCTTCGATTAGTAATGAGAATATTTGGGGTATAAAAACGTATGGAGCATTTAGCATTACATGTTCAGACAAGGAGTAAAGCGTAATTCGTGTAAAAATGAGCAGATTTGGAGAATATTACAATACTGTAGTATTTAATCATTTCTATTATATGTATATTTTTCGAACTATTTGCATTTGCATGCCAAAGCTATCAGTGCTACTGCGTTTTAAAAAAGAATATCCCAAATAAATGTATATCCCCATTGCCGCTTTAAAGCAACAGGGACAACAACGCGCTGTAGCAAAAGCGGCCGACATCGCCGCCGCCGTTGCGTACCAAACACCGCCGGACTATCGAATTATTTATTAACTCTTCATTATTTTACTTTCTCGCATTGTACTTACGCAGAATATTTAAAAGCTAAAATACGCATTGCATATGTTCGTGAATACACTGAATACCATATACTGATTTCAATGCCAGAAATATATTTTCATTTAAAGTTTGAATAAAAATATTGTTTCACACTTTCTTTATTTACGGGTTAAAGTCATATTTGAAGATAAGATAGGCAGAAATTAAGTCATGACATTACATAACGATAACACTATAATATTGCGAGAAAGTAGCACCACTAGTTTACTTTCTCTTATACGTATATGTATATACGGGGTAATAAACGTAGAAAATTTGAGGAAGTTATATTATGCTGCGGAAAAATGATCACGAAATTTGAACGGAATTACACATTTTGGGAACCCCTGATGCCGAAAAGTGATTTTTTTTCAAAACGTCTGTGAACATCACTACCGTTAAACCACACGTAGGATTTTTTCAAAATGGATATTCGCTAGTCGAACTGTCGTGCCTCGAAGCTTTGCAATTTTGAAAAGTATTCTTTAAAATTTGGAGGCTACTTTACATTAAGCCCCTGAAACATTTTCAAAATTTTCTCAAAAATAGTTTCAATTTTTTCCTTTTTAATTTTTTGAAAGAATACAATAAAATACACTTAGAAGATGGCATAAGTCCGTTTTTCTCTGTTAATTCTGTATTTTAGAAAATTTCCAAAGCTTGAAATTTTTTCGGCTTATTACAAAGTTAGACACATATTTTTCCTTCAGGTAAATTTTTTCTCCATTTTTCATTTAGGTTATGTATATTTTTTTTGAAAAAAATAGTTGTTTTCGTGCAATATATCTAATAAAAATATTTTCTAAAAATGTACTCCATTTTTTCTTTAAACTTTTGGTAGGAATAGTGCTACGTGTGTTTTACAAGCATACATAAACGTCATATTGCGCTATTCTTTTGTTGTTTTTCAAAAATGAAATTAAAAAAATTGAGATCTCTCTCGAGTCGTTAATATTTACATTAAAGGATATTTGTATACATTATTGCATTTATTAGTACTTGTGCATCAAACAATGTCTTAAAAAGTTTCTTTGAAAACTGAAACATTTTCTGCGATAATTAGCTAAAAATTCCGCGTTTTCAGAAATGTAATGATATTTTCTTAAAAACGGTTCCAATTTTATTGTTCAAACTTTTCGGACGAATAGTGCTAACTGCACTGTTTAAGATGACTTAAATTCATTTTGTTATATTCTTTAGTTTTTCAAAAATTACAATTTAAAAAAAAATCTCTCACGCCTTTAATATGCACATCCCCAGCGATTTTTATACATGTATTTGTAAACAATATGCACTTGTGAGTGGAAGTGGATCTTATGACTATAAAAAAGAACTAGTGGTGCTACAGAATGGCACATACTTTCCAGCATTAGTTTTCTATTTCCTTTGATCTTGGCTAGCTGTTCGGACTTGGACAGACCAGCTGCCATCTATCGCCGCGCTAAGTATTTTTTTAATGTTCTTAATTTTTCGGCTTCCTAATAGTAAAACGGAAATATTATTTTAAGGATATTAAAAAACAATAAATCCCCGTCCTAAATGACATTTTCTTTGAACAATTTGGAGTCGTTTTTAAGAAAATGGCATTTATGCGCTACTGTAATGTCGAATTTTGAACCTCTTTTCACAGAAAACTATTGAGTTTTCGAAAAACTTCATACGTCGTAATTTCAAGCTTATTTCAATTTTGAGCTCATTTTCACGGAAAACTGTTGATTTTTCAGGAAACTTTATCTGATATTCTTTAAGATACACGTACCCATAAACACATTAATTTAACGAAGTTACCGCTAATGTAGATATTAATTACGTGAGAGGCAAGTCAAAAAATACATTTGTGTACTTTAAAAAAACAAAAGAATAGAGCAATACGGCGTTTGTGTCATCTTATAGAGTGAATTTTGTACCATTCCTACAGTAAAGCACTGTCTATAGTATACCTATTCTATAGTATAGTCCATTCCAAATCCCCATGCTTCGACTCGAGAGAGCGGACGTTTTAGAAACAACACTTTTTCGGTATCACTTCAAAACATGTATTTCCGTTGAAACCTCGAATTCGATTTTTCGCAGCATTACATAACTTTCCCCATATACTACGTATAATACTTCGTATAAGTGTAAGGGAAAGTAAAAAATTTAAAAACTCAACATTTGTGAAAACGAACTACAAATTTCCCATTAAAGTAAAGCTTAAATGCCATTTTCTTAAAAAGGCTCCAAATTTGCACACACAAATTTGTGAAAAAGAGAAAAAATGTTTTAAAAATGTACCTTGTACTGCGATTGATGGCAGCTGGTAAGGGTAAGTGTCATGTCCAAAAAGCTAGTTCAGACCAACGAAATTAGAAAACTAGGTAGTTTGAGAAAGTCTGTGCCATCTCTAGTTATTCGTTTCATTTGTTCTAAATATTCATGTGACCAGGTAAAACCTTGAACTTTCACCTACCATTTAATGTGAAGTAAATAATCATCTTTTGATGGCTCATGCTTTCTGTAAAACAGTTCCGTACACCCAGTAATACCAACTGGCAAGTACAATATTACATAAACAACAGATATGATTATCAGCATTCTTGTTATTTTATAAGTTGCCGTGTGGTCATCAGTTGCTATAATAAGAAATATTGTGAGAAATATATTATTTCACTATTTAAAGTATTTGAAATTAGTTTCTTGGCTTACCCATCAGATTGTTATGAACTTGAGCTGATTGTCGCACATGGATTAACAAGCATATATTTGTAGAAGTTATGAGAACTGATGGTACAATGGTGGTTATGAACATAAAAGGAACCATGTTTAGACTAATTTTATGGTCATTATCTCCACAAGGTTCATATCCGTACATATTATCATTTTCAAAACCTAAGGAGAGAATAAATGTGTTTATTATTTTCAGTGTGTTAGATAATACTCAATTGTTTCTGAAGTACTTACCAGGTGTTGTGAATGATCTGATTAAGGCCAGGCCCAGAGTTACTATTGCTAGTATTATAACAGCTAGTTTTGCGGGTTTTTCATTTTGCCATGAGTGAATTTTAAATGGATTTCGTATCATAAGCACTCTCTCTATTGTAAATGTAACAACTAGCCAAGATGAGTAGTAGAAGAAAACTGAAAGTAGTATTTTATGAAGGGTGCACATCCATCCATTATTCTGCAAAATTAAATTCCTCAATATAAGGCATCAAAATAATTTATGACTACCGTATTTTATACTATACAAAAAATCAGAATATGGTTTTTAAGCTAAGGATAAATTACAAATGTATAAATAATGAAAAAAATGTGCCTCATTTTTAACAATACAACATATAGTAGTGTACAAATAATATCAAAGAACTCTGAGCAAAACACATTTAAAACTGGTTATTTGAAATAGTTTACAGGGTAATTGGATTAATAAGGTGTTATGAGAAAAAACATTAAAACCATAATTTCTGTTCTGTCAGATTCAGTTTAAAAACTACTCAAATATCCTGCTCCTATTCATTTCGTGATGTGCAGTGTCTGAAATTTTTGATTGCCCAAACTACTTATGATCAAAATTACTCGTCTCTTGAAAACCCTCTCGTGGCTCGGTGGCGAAGTTGCTTGTCTTCCACCGCAGAGGTTCCTGGTTAAATCCCCTTTGAATTCCCGAAGAACCTCATGTGATATTTGTTACGACAAAACGAGCTTGCATGCTTCGCAGGGCCTAGTCCAACCCCTGAGAAGCGTCCTAAACTCTACCCCTGTCATTAGTCCTTCCCAATCTGGCCGATGAGTAGATGACGCGAGCGCGAAGACACTACCTCTCGGCGATTCCCTGACTTGACTGCGACGTGACTTGATTACCCAGAGGCCCCTAGAGGGTGCTGGGTGATTAATTTTTTTATTTATTTATAAAAAAAATTACAATCTATTTTTTTACAAAATAATAAGTAAATATGATGTTGTAGAATTGTTATGACAATGATTTCCAGTGAAGGTATCCCATCGGTACTCTTCATCTACTTCTTCATACTATAACAAAAAGCAAGTATTATTTTGGATTGGCTGCGAGTGGGATAGTTTATTAGCTGAGGGTAATGTTTCAGTTATTAGTTGAGAATCTATATGGGAGTTGTAGGGGTGAGGTTCTGGTTAGTCTATGGATATCTGCACTATTGTCTAGGATGTTGAGGGCTAGGTGGTTTGGATGGTTTTCAAGGCGCTGGAGATAGTTTGAGCTGATAAATTCTATTCTTTCCAAGACAGTTGGCATTTTAAGTCCTTGTGCAGTGCTGCATTTGTGATGATCCATGGTGCTACCGCGATCATTCTTAGGGTCTTGGATTGAAATCTCTGGATGATCGAGAGATTACTCTTGCTTGCTGTGCCCCAGATATGGATGCCGTAGGTCCATATTGGGATTATGATAGCTTTATAAATCAACAGTTTGTTTTCCAGTGATAGTTTTGAGTGGTATCCTAGTATCCAGTATAGTTTTCTTGTTTGAAGTTGTAGGTGTTTTTTTTTTTTGGCTAAGATGTGATGCTTCCATATTAGCCATTTGTCTAGATGTATTCCCAAGTATTTTACACTTTCCATCTGTACTATTGGATTGTTGATGATGTGGACTGTAGGGCATTTGTTTTTACCTCAGGGTAAAGGTTAAATGGACTGATTTATTTTCGTTGATTTTTATTTTCCACTTTTTGGCCCAATCTTCAATCATTGTGAGATGTTCTTGTAAATGTCTTGATGCGACATTAGGGTCGTCATCCGAAGCTAATATGGCCGTATCATCTGTAAAAGTGGCTATGGTTGTTTTATCTGATTTTGGTTTATCAGTAGTATAGAGCTGGTATAGGATAGGGTCGAGTACACTACCTTGTGGTACTCCGGCCTTGATTGGATGAAATTCAGATAATTCATTTTGATATTTGATTTGGAAGGTGCGGTGGGATAGAAAAGATCTGATAATGATTAATAACGGAGGATTACTCCACGGTGCACTCAACACTCCTTAACGAGTTAGGAGTTAAGACACAACGAATTTTTTTAAAACTCTTAGTTAATAAACAAAATGTGAAGTGAATTTGTACTGTGAACATTTGGAATTAGAATGATCAATTGCATTTATTTATTGGAGTTCTTAGACAAGAGCATAACAAATACATTTATTTACTGCTACACCTTTATACAACTTTTGAAGAAACCATCCTGTTCATGCAATACAAGTGAAGCTAACAATTAAAGCTCAGACTGCAACATGCCAGCTTTACAAATACCACATTTCTGTGAAAATTGTCACCTTGGTGTACGAATCTTTCCTTTCTTTTATTGAAGAGAGAAAATGTACCTTCATCAATTTTGCTTGTGAAGAATGCCATTGTAGTTATGGTTATTATACCAATTCCCTGCACAATTCCCCTCTTTAGACTGAATGGTAATGTATTCTCGAACATACTAATGCTGACTAGTTTAAGAGTATTTTTGTAGTGTAACAATAAAGTAGTGTTGCTACAAATTAGCACCGACTTTCTTGTACTAGTTGATTCCCCTTTCTTTTGATTCGTGGTAACTTTTCTATCTGCCAAAATTAACCATAACCCATCCCTTATCTGGCTGCCATCTATTGGCACCAGGATATACAATAGTCTTCTATGTTAACTATCCAGTGCAGTGCAGCCACATGCTTCCCAAGTATATCATGGGCTACAAACATCCTGCTTAGGCAACAACAATGCACTTACAAAAATTTGCATGTTCAACTTTATAATCAAATTATGATAAATATAATTATTATTACATGTAATTCTTTGATTTATATAATTGTCAATGTAAACACTGCCTCACAAATGTACACATAACCAAAAATGCCAATAGCTAGCAGTGCTACGAATCTGCGGAAGGCCTAATAGTTAGTTGCTTTAGTCTCTTTCTTTAGAGAAATCTTTGGCATCTAATAGATATCCGGATCCTCTCACAGAGTATAGCAAATAGCAGCTTCTCTCACATCAAAAATTGCATAGACATATCTTGGTCCTAAATCACTACATATTTGGTCATGGCATTTGGTGTTTGGACCATAGCTCTCAGCGTAGGAATCCAGTTCCTCATCAACACAACTTAAACCATTCACGCCTTACCCATATATATATATATATATATATATATATATATATATATATATATATATATATATACACACACTTGACCTCGCAAATGCCAAGATTGATAGGTTTCACACAAAGCCAAGACCTGGCTTATCATGTAATTTATCCAATTGAGGAACTGTATTTCTATGCTGAGAGCTATATATATGACGATTTTTTCAAAACGGATTTTTCCGGTCGATCTGGTTCCACTCGAAGCGCAGGAGTTTTGAAAAACTTTCTTTAAAATTCGAAGGTACTTTACATGAAGCCTCTGGAACAATTTCAAAATTTTCTCAAAAAGGCTTCAATTTTTTCTTTAAATTTATTGTAAGAATGGAGTAAAGTACATTTATAAAGGTGGCATAAGTCCGATTTTCAGGGTTAACTTTGAATTTTCGCAAATTTTAAAAGTTTGAATTTATTTGAGCGTCTTCCTGCAACTACAAAATTGTACTTTTGCTCCATTCTTAAAATAAATTAAAAGAAAAAGTTTGGAGCCTTTTGTGAGAAAATTTTTAAAATGTCCCAGGGGCTCCATATCAAATCATGTAAAGTACCCTCAAATTTTAAAGAATGTTTTTCAAAATGTCAATACGAACTTGCCACATACTCTTCTCTTCGACATCTTCCATCTATCGCCGCCCAAAGTACATATTTTTTGAAATATTCTTAATTTTTTCGATTTTCTAATAATAGAACGAAAATATTATTCAATGAATATTCAAGAACAGTAAAATTTCGCCTTAATTGCCATTTTCTTTGAAAAATTTGCAGCCATTTTTAAGAAAATGGTGTTTACTCTATAATGCAAATTCGACATTTAAAGTCATTTTAAGTACTTCAACTCACAAATACAATAGTATTTACAAATTATTGGAAGTGTGCTTATTAACGGCGTGAGATATCTTAAAAAATGCATTTATGTAATTTTTGAAAAACAAATACCCCGAAATGAACTTTAAAGCATTATTTGTTGGAAACGGTTCACGAAAAAATGTGTAGCCATTTATGAAAAATGGTGATGTAGTTTTCGCAGAAAAGGGTTGAGGTTTCGAGAAAATTTATATGACATTATTTAAAGCACATATTGATGCTGCGAAATATTACTTAGACGAATTGGGAGAGCATTAGCAGAAACTGCAACGAGAAGTTTTGTGCATCTACATCTGTGTTTACATCAGACGAGAGAGTTCTGAAAAAAGAGACATATATTTGACAAAG